GAAATTAATTTATGATAAAGCTCAATATTTATTCATTTATTTTTGTATATAAATTGCTCCAATTTATTGAAAAGATCTTTCCCTATTGAATTTTGTCACTGTCATTTTGTCTCTTCTTGTGTGTTGGTTTGCAACCTCAGGAATTTACCAGGTAAAATCGAAACTGGCCTCCATACGTGGAGGGCAAGCAGAGACCAAAGAAAGAGGCAGACCTCTCCACATTGGTAGGTGGCAGGTTTAATAAGCATGGAAACCTATATGAGGCTTGTCTTGGGTAGTCATAAGACGAGTAAATCTCCACACCTGCTTGCCAGAATCTTAAAATTTTATATAAAGGTTTTAATGGGGTTCAGTCATGTATACCATCCAGATGGCCTCAGTAACACACTGCTTTCTCAAGGTTATGTCCTTGAATATTTCAGGGCTCCCACTGTGAGAATGGTGCACAGAATGTACATTCTGAGGATCGGGTTGGGGGTGAGGAGGCTCCAATTGTCCAGGTCCAGGTCATGGGTCAGTTGACAGTCACATCTTCTTGATGAATTCCTCCAACATTTTGTCAATACCACACCGCTGAATAAATGTAACTTTAGAGTTAGTCATGAGTTCTAATGGTGCAGTTCATTCAATGTTTTTCTTGTTTTGCCTATTCTAGGTCTTTTCTTTTGCATTTCCACATAAAGTTTACAATCAGCTTGTCAATTTCCACAATAAAACCTACTAGGATTTGATTAGAATTGTGCTGAGTCAATGTTACTTTGTGAAGAATTGTTAGCAACACAGTTTTCTAATTAATAAGCTTGATATCTCTACTTGTATAGATCTCCTTGAAATTTTCTGCAATGTTTTGAATTTATCGGTGTAGGTATCTTAAAAGTATTTATTATATTTATTTTTACATATTTGATTTTACTGATTAAACAGCTTAACTGACATAAATGGTATTTTATATTTATACAAGTTGTTTTTTCAAGTGTGTCGGAACTCAGTTTTGTATATTGCTGGTTGGCTTTTTAAAACTAACTTATTCCTTCTTAATCTCAGGAAACAAACTGAGGGTTGCTGGAGTGGTGGGGGGGGTGGGAGGGACGGGGTGGCTGGGTGATAGACATTGGGGAGGGTATGTGCTATGGTGAGCGCTGCCAATTGTGCAAGACTGTTGAAGCACAGATCTGTACCTCTGAAACAAATAATGCAATATATGTTAGGAAAAAAAAAGAAGAGGAAGAAGATAGCAGGAGGGGAAGAACGAAGGGGAGTAAATTGGAGATGGAGACGAACCATGAGAGACGATGGACTCTGAAAAACAAACTGAGGGTTCTAGAGGGGAGGGGGGGTGGGGGGATGGGTTAGCCTGGTGATGGGTATTAAAGAGGGCACATTCTGCGTGGAGCACTGGGTATTATGCACAAACAATGAATCATGGAACACTACATCAAAAACTAATGATGTAATGTATGGTGATTAACATAACAATAAAAAATTTAAAGTAAAAAAAAAAACTAACTTATTCTTGGGTGCCTGGGCGGCTCAGTCGGTTAAGGGTCTGCCTTTGGCTCAGGTCATGATCCCAGGGTCCTGGGATCAAGTCCCATATCAGGCTCCCTGCTCAGCCTGGAAACTGCTTCTCCTTCTGCCCCCTCCCCACCAGCTTGTGCTCTCTTTCTCTCTCGCTCTCAAAAAAAAATCTTTAAAAAAATAAAACTAACTTATTCTTGTTCATTGGTGAGTGAATAAGGAAGATGTGATATATTCATACAATGGAATATTACTCAGCCATAAAAAGGAATGAAATCTTGCCATTTGCAATGACATGAGTGGATCTAGAGAGTATAATGCTAAGCAAAATAAGTCAGAGAAAGACAAAAACCATATGATTTCACTTATATGTGGAAATTAAGAAACAAAACAAACAAGTAGAGGGGAAAAAAGAGAAAGACAAACCAGGAAATAGACTCCTAACTATAGAGAACAATCTAATGGTTACCAGAGGGGAGGTGGGTGGGGGCATGGGTGAAACAGGTGATGGGGATTAAGGAGGGCACTTGCTGAGATGAGCACCGGGTAATGTGTGGAAGTGTTCAGTCACTATATTGTCCACCTGAAACTAATATTACACTGTATGTTAACTAAATAAATAAAAACTTAAAAAGGTAATAAAGTTATAAAGTTAAAAAATTAAAATTAACTTATTCTTAATATTTATAGGTTTCTAAATAATCATATCATTTGTGAGTACAGACATTTTTACTTTATCCTTTCAAATTTTTATTCTTTTCTTTCTTCTTTCCATGTTACACAGCCCTGGACATCCAGTAGAATTTTGAACAGAATACCGATAGGGACATCCTGAACTTTACATGTCATTGAGAGAAAATGTCCAACATCATATCATGATTGTAATGTTAGCTATAGGGTTTTTATATGTCTATCAATTCAAGGTAGTACCCTTTATTTCTGGTTTGCTCAGAGGTTTTGTGATGAAAATATATTAGGATTTTATCTATTGAAGTGGAATGCAGTTTTTCCTCTATGTTGGTGTGAAATTTATTCATGATTATTCAAAAGTGTGTATTTTTGTGATCAACTCCACTTGGTCACGATGTATTATTATTTCTTTATATATCACTATACTTGCTATTTTTAACATGTTTGTAGATATCTACATTCACAAAATATATTAACCATCAATTACTGTTTCTCATCCTGTAATTGTCTAGCTAGGTATCACACATGAAACTAGTGGAGAAGTGTTTTATTCTCTAACACAGTATGTATAATATTGGTATTATTTTTTTGTTAAATGCCTAATATAAATAATAAGTGTGGCCTCTTGGCCTGGAGTTTACTTGAGGGCTTTTATTTTATGATGTCATGTTAGTCACCATACATTACATCATTAGTTGTCGATGTAGTGTTCCATGATTCATTGTTTGTGTATAACACCCAGTGCTCCAAAAAATTATGAACTAACTGCTGTTAACAGATAAAGAACTATCCACCTTTTTGTTTTCTTGTTTAAATTCTGGAGACTAGTGTTTTTCAAAGAATTTGTCCATTTCATCTAAGTTATCTACTCTACTGTAAAAAAAGTGTTTTTTAAATCATATTCACTGTACCCACTTAATATTTTTTATATTAGTAAAACATATGGTGATATTTATTGTTTTTATTATTAATACACATTCTGTGTTTTCTCCTTCATTCTTGTTTAGAGTTGCTAAGGTTTCTATGGATGTTCTTAAACTTTTCACAGAACCAGACTTCTGTTTTGATTTTATTTATGTCACATATATGTTTTATTGATTTCTGATTGTGCCATTATTATTCCTCCCTTTGTACTTTGGGCTTAATTTGGTCTTTGTTATCATCCTGAAATAGAAATTATATCTTTAGATTTTCACCTATTCTTTTTTTCCTAATAAATGAACTTAAATTGTCTGTAGCGGCACTGTTCTAGCTCTATCCCATTCATTTTATATGCCATTGTTTCCGTCGTCATTCAGGTTATGGGAGCCAAGGGAAACATCAGCAGACCTTTACGATTTTTTCTTTCATAGGAAAAAAACTTCAAATGTGACTAAATATTAAGAATTATTATATTTATGCATGATTCATCTTTATCGCAATATGTATATGATTCTGTTTTAAATATTCTCTATATACAAATAAAACTTTTATGCATTATCTATATACAAATAAATTTTCAAAATACAGCATTATGTAACTTACACAAAAATAGATACAATGCTATTTTAATATGTAAAAACATATATGAATGGATCTTACAGTTACCAAAATCTGGCCTTTTATTCTAGCAAAGATAGCTAAGTTGGAATGATGAATGTAAAAATAGCACACATTTTATATGCCAGTTTTAAAAATGCAATTCATTTTTTCATTTAAAAAGCATTTACTAAGCTGCCATATACCATTTCCTGTGCTAGTGACTGAACATATCAAGATTACTAAAACAGATGTGCTACCTGCCCTATTGTAGCTTACTTTGCTTACTTTATATCACTATGGAACAAGTTAACTCAGTCCCCAAAGTTGGCCATTGAGCCACAGGACGCATAACACCACTATAGCAATAAACACTGAAATGAACCAAGGTGCATCCTGCTTTTTTTTTTTTCTTTTTTAATGAGAAGAACCTATAGAAAGGCCAGAGACAAAGTAAGAGTGGAAGGGAAAGAATTCTTGATTATATAAGCAAGGGGGATGGCACACAACAGTCAATTAGTAATTGAAAAATAATCATAATGAAGTTTAAAAGATTTTATGATGGGGGGTTATAGTAAGATTTTGTTATGCTTCCTCTCCTTCGTCTACTTAATATTAGCTCCCTTACAGAGATTATACATTAATGGGGGTGAGTATATACTTGTTTTCTCCTTCAGAAACCTTTCTTTAGTATTCTTATACTAGAATAATTTTCTTTGTTCCAAAGGTAAGATTAACCCTGTTAATTTCTGCGAATAAACTAGTAGACAGTTTAGAGTGTTGAAAATAATACAGAATTCCAGCCAACCATTCCGTCTGTAACTCCCCAAATATTGATTGACATTCCTGATTGCACGCTACATGTTTAGTTATCAGGAATCTGACAGACCTGAGTTCCTACCTTACCTCTACCATACAACCCCTGCCTGATCTTGGACAGACCACATGACCTCCTTGAGAAAGATTTTCTTCATCAGCTAAATGAAGATGATAAGTGCACTTAACTATTATTCAAGATATTAAAGGATTCACAATCATCATCTAGTAATAAATGAATCTCAATATGTGGAACAATTTGAATGCTTACTAATGTTAGTTACTACTATGTACGAAGTGTGGGAAAGGAGAGATTAAAGGGCTCAGATTTTTGGCCTGTAGAATATTGAGCATAAAGGTGCATTCTTATGATGAGTCCCTAAGACGAGGCAGATTTAAGAAAGGAGAAAATGAAGTCTAATTTGGATATGTTGGTTTACAGGGATATTTAGTTAGTGATGTCCAGGAGTATCCGGAAGGATGAATCCAACTTGAGGAGTAAAGTCTAGGCTAAAAATAGATGTCATAGGGTGTTTGTCTTGCATCACTTCTTTACACAAACTCAACTCCCAACATCCCTGCTTTGACTCTGTGGCAGAGGAATATCTGAGCCAAATACCCAACAGAAGTGTTAGAGATTTTGCTCAGCATTTACCTCTACCATGTTTCTCCCATGCCTGGTTACTAAGGACCTCTTTCTAATGAAAACAGTTCCTAATTCATGGTCTAGATACTTATCTCATGTCCTTGGTATTAACTCTCTCTGGATTTCCTGTATCTGTATGTGTTTATATGCTTATTCTCAGAACAGATGCAGCCTGGCTGCAATCCGCAGAGAATTCAGTGACTCTTGAGCAGGTGACTGGGGAAATAAAAAGAAGCAAGCCCTCATATATGAGGAGGAGACTTTGTGGCAGTCAAATTCGATGACTGCTGGGATTTTATACTAGAAGCCTTCAGCTACTCTCAAAAGTGTTCTCCAAAATATCCACCCTTTGGTGAGTACCCAGATACACCTCTATTTAGCTTTCATTTACTTTTTAATTTTTTTAAATTTTTATTTAATTTTTAATTTTTTGGCAATCAACCACATAGAACTTCATAAAGAGCAGGAAGAAGCCTCCAAAAGTCATACCTCTAGGAAAAATGTTCCTTTCAGAGACTAGATAAAAAGACTGTATACCTTTTGGAGGATCAGCCTTCAATAGTACTCAAATTCTCCTAAATTGCAATACTGACCATGTCAATTTATTATTCTCTTGGCAACACTTCACAAATTCCAGGCCAAAAGAAATGAGGTATAATTTGTCGGTAATCTCTGTAGGGACTGCCCTGACAAATATATACATGATTTGAGATAGGAGTAATTTTTAAACAATGTTTAAATAACCAATTTTCAGATGGCAAGAAATAGAATTAAGGACAGTTTAATTTTGAGAAGACCACACATTTGTGGGATTTCCAAGGGTTAGGAAGAAAAAGAGTCTGAAATTCCTTTGCCTTTACTAAGTGTCATTGTGGGTATTCTACCCAATATTAGATCTAGGACATGAAAGCAAAACAGCAGACTACTCGAGGGCACTGGCTGTGATGAGTGCCAGGTGTTTTATCTAAGCAATGAATCACTCAATTTTGCCGCTGAACCTAGTATCACACTATATGTTAACTAACTAGAATTTAAATAAAAATTTGACACATTATAAAAAAGGGGAGGGAATTGACAGCTGGTTACTAAAACTTTACAGAAAAAAAATGAATTCAGACCTGTATCTGAATGCAAAATAAAGACCCAATTTCTCTATAGGGAAAATATGGCCGGCAGTAATTTTTCCAAGCTAGGATATCTGAAGATTCTAGTTCAAAGTGGCATGTATTTGTCACTATATGACAGCCACATAGTGACAGTTCTGTCAAGAGAGCTGAAAGAAAGCTCTTCAAAAACTGCTATTTTTCTGTGATATTTCCAGATATTCATATTTTACTAACTCAGCATCACTCTCTCTCTCATTATAGAGCCTCTAAATGGATCAAGTCTATTATTAATAAATCAAATGTTGAAATCACCACTTTTTTGGTTGGGATGCCAGGGCTGGAATATGCACACATCTGGATCTCTATCCCCATCTGCAGCATGTATCTTTTTGCTATTCTAGGAAACTGCACCATCCTTTTTGTCATCAAGACAGAGCCCTCCTTGCATGAGCCCATGTACTACTTCCTTTCCATGTTGGCCGTGTCTGACATGGGCTTGTCCTTCTCTTCTCTACCCACCGTGGGGAGGATCTTCTTATTTGATGCCCCTGAAATTTCTGCCAGTGCCTGCTTTGCCCAGGAATTCTTCATCCATGGATTCACAGTATTTGAGTCCTCAGTGCTCCTGATCATGTCATTTGACTGCTCTCTAGCCATCCACAGCCCTCTGCGATACAACTCCTTTCTGACTCCTGTCCGAGTTGCCAAAATAGGAATGGCATTCTTTTTCAGGAGTTCCCTTCCTCTTCACTTTGAGAAGTTTGAAATATTGTAATAAAAGCCAATTATCCCATTCCTACCGTCTTCACCAGGATGTCATGAAGTTGGCCTTCTCTGACAACCGAATTGATGTCATCTATGGCTTTTTTGGAGCGCTTTGCATTTTGGTAGACTTTATGCTCATTGCTGTGTCTTACATTCTGATCCTCAAGACTGCTGGTAATTGCATCCCAAAAGGGCAGCTCAAGGCCCTCAATACTTGTGTTTCACACATCTGCGCAGTGATCATCTTCTATCTGCCCATCATCAACCTTGCCACTGTCCATCGCTTTGTCAGACATGTCTCACCTCTCTTCAATGTTCTCATGGCAAATGTTCTTTTACTTGTGCCTCCAATGATGAATCCCATCGTGTACTGTGTGAAAACCAGGCAAATTAGAGTGAGAGTTCTAGCAAAATTATGTCAGAAGTAGATACAACAGTGATGTGTAATAGGAAACATAGCAGCCAGTTGTTTTGGGAAAGATTTCCAAGATAAGTTTCAGAGAACCTAGTATCTGGCACGAAGATGCATCAGTATCACTTTTTGTTATCATGTAAGCTTTATTTCATTCATAAGTGATACTGGACATGGATATAAATAGAATTGGTAACAGAAAGTACATATCTTGAGGTCCCTCCCTTAAGGGATATTGGGAAATCTATTATCATGATGAAAATAGATGTCTTATGATGTCATCTATGATAAAACCAAAAAATGCTAATAGAGAAAAATGATCATGTATATCCTTCAAAGGGATATACAGAAGTGGATTCCTCATCCTTCAAATGCAATCTATCCGTATTGATTTCTTCTGGGTCTAGACTCAAATTATAACTTAGTCTGTATTCCTCTCACTATTTTCCTTTTCGTCATCCCACGATAAATCACCAGTATCTCTTTAATGAAATATTGCAATAACCTCACAAGTTTCTAAACATCTACTCTTGCTTCTTTCTAATTGATTCTTCGACTGAAAAAATAGGCAGGATTGTTTTATATAAAGCCAGGGTATTATGAGAATCAAATAAAATATATGCCTGAAAATGCCTGAAAGCACATGTGCACATATTAGAGGTTCAAAAACAATGTTTATGGCTGTGGAAAATTTTCATTAATTCTGAGGTAACTTCCAAGTATGGGCTCATTATTATTCATTAAGCATTTGACACTTATGGAGTTTGTTTCTTGATTCACCTGAGGATAAAAATGTAGGAGACAAGAATTGTGATTTGTGGATAAGACTTGAGTTAATGAGTGGGCATGAGAAAAGATGAAAACTCTGTTCTATGATCTGAGTTTTGAGGTCATGTTAGGAAGGTAAGTTGGACTGTTTGTCACTTATCACAACCAAAACAATAAATTCCCCTTTAACCCTATATTATTTTTTTCTTTAACATTTTTGAGCATCTGTGATATGCCTGCCTTTGTAATATACAACTGAAGACAATTATATCACATCTGGGTGGAGTGTTACTGAACTCTTCAACAAGTAATTCCCCTTTCTTCAAATATGGTCTCACACATTCATTCAACAATTATTTATTGGAGATTTATTCCACATCAAAAAATATGCTACACATTAGGTACACAGAAACAAATAAAATGGATATGATTTGCCTTTCTTTGAAAGCATGCTTTATTCAGAAAGTAAAAAGAAAAGAAAGAAATTATATCTGTGATTGCAAATAATAATAAACAGAATAGAGGATAGACTAGCTACAAAAGAAATTTCAGAAAGAGGATCATGTTTTGGACTGAGGGTTTAGGGAAGTATTCTAGAGTGAAATTAAGTCGAAATATAACAAAAAAGTGAGTAGAAATGAATTATATGAAATTGGGGTCAAGAACATTCTCACATTGAGGGTCAGATGTGATAACTCACAAGGAGCAGAGAGCTCTGTAAATTCTACAAATATGCAGAAAGCCAAAAGGGTTGGAGTTTAATGACTGTCTGATGATGTTGGAAAAGTAGAGAAGACCCAGTCAATGTATGTAGGGCTCTGTCTTGTTGACAAAAAGATCCAGTCATTGCTTTAATTCTATTCTCAAAGAAATAAGAAACTTTATATTTAAGAGTCATCATCACATTACCTAATTGCCATTTTAAAGACATAACTTTTGCCTTACATAAAGAAGATACCGAGGCTCTGAGAAATTGATTTCATGAAATTCACATAGACAGGAAATTAAAAGCTTTAATTCAAACCTTATCATTTATACCCCAGGATAGCACTATCTTGGCTACATATTAGCTTTCACGTACATTCAGGATTGCACCTGTTTCCACAATGTGTCCTAGAATAGGAAATCCGAACATCAGATCAGAGCAAGAAGTTTTTCCATTTCTTGGGTGTCTTAATCCACCCAAAAGTTTCACAGTGCATCTGTGAAAGCAGCCAATATGTTATCTGCTTCAAAAATACAATAGTGGGGCAGCTATAGGGTAGACAGCCCTATTCCAAGTAAGATAAATTGAAAAGTAATTGGGTGATGGGCATTAAGGAGGGCATGTGATGTGATAAGCTGTGGGTGTTATATAGAACTGATAAATTATTGAACACTACATCTGAAACTAATGATGTACTATGTGTTGGCTAATTGAATTTAAATTAGAAAAAAAAAAAAAAGTAAGGGATCACAGGTCTCAAGCAAGTCCAGAATGTAGCAGGGCAAATCCCATTACACTTAAAAGTTTTGAGAATAATTCTCTTTTGCTTTATGTTCTGTCCCCCAGGTGTGCCAGGATGGCATCCTTGCCTTTGTAGACCATCTGAGTATTGGCCTTGTCCCTTCAACCCTGGGTATTGGCAGTCTGTTCCACTGGAATCAAAGCAGTGGCCCTGTCCTTTGAAACCAAAGAGGAAACAGTTGTGTCCCCCAAGCCTTTGGCTCTCTGGGCCCATGGTAGTCTTGGCAGCCCTCTGAACCACCTTTGGGGTCATTCCTCCCTTTTCGTGAAGGTTAATGCATGTGTATAGCTTAAAAGCTGTATTGGCCAGTCCTGTAGCCTCTCAAAAGTCTGATGCTTTTCCTTCATTTCATTTCATTTATGTCCCCGTCAGTATAAATTGCCAACATTTCTGCTGGTGTATAATGCTGTAAAACCTTTTTGGCTTCCCATACAATTTGCAAGGTCATCACAGATTTTATTCAGACTGCTATCATAGGGACAGAGACTTCAGTATAGAGCTGAGTTCATCTCCTCTGAAACAAAAGGTGGGAGGCTTTTGAAATGCTGAAGTGTGCTAAAGGAAAAGTATTGAAGGATGTGGGGAGGGAGAGTTTGGCCACTGTGATTAGGCCACTTGTGTTTGATTAATGGTGTTTATTCAAATTAGGCTTCTAAACTCTCACAGGGACTAGGAGATAGGGGTCCTATCTTTCTTGATGATTTAATTTCAAAGGGATGGTTCCTATGTCCTTGAAAAAGACATTCTTGATTATAGAAGATACTGCTCAAAGAGATGAGAAAGAATTTACAATTGCAAATTTTCTAAAGTAAATGTTCTAAGAAAAGGCAGATGAGGGGTCTATCTCAGGTTTTAGTTGGAACAACCAGTAAGTTCTTTTGGCAGGGCTCATCTTTCTCAGGCAGGCGTTTGAAGAATAGAGGTCATTATCCAGGGACATGGCCTTGAATTGATAGAAGTCCTGCTAGTGTTTGGTCAAGGAGAAAGTCCTCCCTCTGTTGGGATATCTCAGTGTCTCTTGATACGTTGTTTTCCCTTTATGTGTCTCTGTGTCCAAATTTCTTCTTATAAGGACATCAGTCATACTGGATTAGAGCCCAAGACCTTGTTTTATCTTAATTACCTCTCTAAAGGCCCTATTTCCAAATATAGTCACTCGTTGAGGTGCTGAAAGTCAGGACTTCAATATATGAATTTGAGGGGGCGGGGATGACACAATTAAGCCCATAACAATATGCTTTCCATGTTCTCCATTATTAAAGAACTATTTGTTGTGTTCATTTGACAATTAAAATATTATCTGACAAATGGGTTGGTTTAATGGTGATCAGAAGGGACTAAAAATGGCCTCTTCATTTAAAATATCTGTCTTCAACACATAACTGTGATCTGTATGAAATATACTTCTGCTCTCAGATACTAAATTTGAGATGAGGGAATGATCCTTACATGTAATCACTAAAAAACAAACAACAAATATAAAATTTAGAAGAATTTCATCCATTCATTTCTTTCTATGTTTCCTATTGGAATATTTGAATACCATCTACTGATCTCTACAGGATAAGTCAACTTCCTAGCCTTTCACTTTCTATGGAAGTTCTATTTAATGCCATATTTCGTTATTCCATAATTTGTCTCTCTTCCATTCAATAATTTAAGCCATGTTAATGTATCATTTTCCAATAAGGTAAAATCATTACGCCAACACATATATAAATAATGAACAGCCATTAAAGATATCATTTAACTTATTTTTTAATGAGGGAAATAGGCTAATGTAACAATCTGTTCAAAGTAGAATCCACAGAAAAGATATGTTTATAGACAGAAATGTTGACATGAATTTGCAAACGAGTACAAAGATGGATTCATCCACAGTGGGAAGGGAAGTCAATTGAACTCTAATTAGACAAAATATATTTGCATGTCTACATTAGGGCACCTGGGTTGTTCAGTCGGTTAAGTGTCTGACTTTGGCTCGGGTCATGATCTTAGGGTCCTGGGACCGAACACTGTGTGAGACTGCATGCTCAATGGGGAGTTTGCTTCTCCCTCTGCCCCTCCCCCGATGGTGCTCTGTCTCTCGCAAATAAATAAAATCTTAAATATATATATATATGTATATATGTATATGTGTATATATATATATTTGTATGTTTACCAAACATGAATTGTTTTTACTAATTAGTATCTATAATTTACAGAACTGTAAAATAGTGCAAAGACATAGAAAGGCACAAAGCTCTCACATAATTAGAATCAGATAACTCAGAAGGCCATGCTCTAAACAATGCATAGTTTTCCACTGAAGCACACATTTTCCCCTATATTCTCCCCCATTTACGTAAAATATAATCTTAAAGAATAATTATTCTTGAGTACAAAATGAAGCTAATTCATTAGCTTTGGCCTGAATATTTATATAAAGTCAGGAAGGATATTAAATTACCATAAAGGTCTTCTTAAATTTGCAATGCTAGAGATTTTCATAAGAAATCTCAGGTTGAGGGGCACCTGGGTGGTATCAGTTAAGCATCTGCCTTCTGCTCAGGTCATGATCTCAGGGTTCTGGGATCCAGCCCTGGGTCAGACTCCCTGCTTAGCAGGGACTCTGTTTCTCCCTCTCCTTTTGCCCCTCTGCCTGCTTGTGCTCATTCTCTCTCTCTCTCAAATAAATAAATAAAATCTTTAAAAAGAGTCTCAGGTTGAAAAGCCACTGATATTTGCTATACTGAGA